GATCGACGACGACGACGACGACAACCGCAAGCGGGCTGCAATCGTGGGCGACGACGGCGGAGGCAGCAGCAACAGCAAAACCGCCAGCCGAAGCGAGGTTGACGACGCCGGATCTGACGTCGAAGAGATTGTCGAACCCGAGCCTGACGAGGACGCCCATCGCCAGGACCAGCGTCCTGTCGAGGACCATCAAATGGCTGACCACGACGACACGTGTCCAGGCAGCGATCCACCACCCGGCCCGTCCGCATCCACGCCCGATATCCACGTCGCAGCGCCGTCGCAACCACTCCCATCCCCTCAAGAGGCTCTCGAAGAGCTCCGCGCGGACCTCTGTCCGGTCGACGGCGACGCGCGCGTAGGGCGGGCACTGCTCCAGAGTATCCTCGACGACGTCGGCACCGTCATCCATCGCCGAATCCGGACGGAAGACCTCGAGGATCGGCCGCAGGATCCCGACATAGAGCTGGTGCGCTGGCGCTACGACGCGGCCGACTGGAACCGCGCGGACAAGGTGCTGCCGCCCGAGTGCTTCCGGCAACTCAGCCCGACGATACTGCACCACGACGCGCCGGCCCACATGCAACGAAGCAGGCAAGACCTCCTCGCCGCGACGACCAACAACCACGTCACGCAGACCCTCATGCGGCGCTACACGGTCGGCGAGCTCTTACGCGGCGTGCTCGAGTTTCCGAGCGTGCAGAGGGCCATGATGGACGTCGAGGCCGAGGCGAGGAGATGGCGCAACGAGCAGGCAAAGGCGCGCGCCAACAGCGTCGTACCACGACGCAGAGGAAGCGACCGCGACCGAGATCGAGATCGAGACGGAGACGGAGACGGAGACGGAGACAACGACGAAGCAGATGCAGGAACTGGAACAGAGACAGAGCCAGAGACGCAGTTGCCACCACCGCCGGATCCAGCACCCCCACCATCACCAGATTCAGCATTGATTCCCCGATCATCGCGACCTTGAGCCAACCTTGAAGGCCGCTGGCACACCTTGTAACACTACCAGACCGCCCACCGTGCCAGACGGCTTTCGTTTAGAGCCACGCAAGAGCTCTCATTAGTAGAGACGCGGACCCAACCCATGGGGCCGCCGTCGACCAGCGCAGACACGACGACGTGGGCATGTATTTGTACCCTCTGATAGACATAGGCATGGGCTCGCAGAACCAGAATCCATTTGTACAACACCACTTCGAGCCGCCCGCGCCCGCGTGACAACGTGCCAGCGTGCCAGAGAGAAGCGGCTGAGGTGCGACGAAAGAGGGCCGTGCAGGAGGGAAGCCTCGCTTGCTATGCGGTGCGCTATGCTGGGCGGGGCTGTACTGTGCACGAACTGGACGCTTAGGTCGACAAAGGGAAGAGGCGGACCCGGTAGCGCCGGGGTTGATGAGCTGTCGACTCGACCAGACGACGGCGAGCCGCGGCGAGCGGGGGGATGGGGGCAGTTGGGCCGGTTTTCCGAGGTGAGTGGCGCGGCCCGCCTATGTTGGCTCCGTCTGGCCGCACTCGAGCGCAGGCTCAGGAGATTCTGTCTTGGGTTGTCGGTGCGACGTTGCGAGGCTGGCCAGCAGGGCATGGCATGGCATGGCATGGCAGAGGCAAGCCTAGGGGGCGAGTGTGCTGGTCCGGACCGTACGTCTTCCCCTTTCGCATCGATGCACCAACACCCACTCTCTGCCTCTGGCACCGATGCGACCTTCACTGGGCCGTCGTGTTCGAGCTCGCGCCCCCCTTTCTCCCTCTGCACGGATGAAAGGTGCTCAAGTTACCGTCTTCCCGTCGCGTCGGGGTGGGATCTTGAGCACGACGACGCCGCTCGGATGGCCCGACGATGGGCAGATACTTCTACACACCTTCGCTCCTCGCTTCTCGCTCTCCTGCTCGCAACGACGGCCGGTTGGTTGCGCGCAAACTCTAGCCTCCTCTCGCCGGCGCAGCCTGTCCATCGGCTCAGCTTGTCGCGTGCACTGGGAGGGAGCACTAGAAGGTCGAGACTGACGACAAGGTGCGTGGCCGCCCGAAGCTGCCATCAACCCGTGGCCCCCCGCCCATGCTTGCGGACAAGGACGAACACACCCTCCCTTGGCACTCGAGCACGACAAGCGGTACGCGCACCGTCACCCACGCGGCCTGCGTGTAGACGGGCAGCACCCCCTTTGGTTGCCATGGATCGTCGAGCTGAAAGAGCAACCCCCATCCTGTCCCGCAAAGAGCGCCAACGACGATGGCACGGCTAGGGCAACGACGGCAACGGCCGCCGCACCGGTCTCGATGCAAGTGGCTTTGCAGCAGGAGCGAGGTCTCGTGTGCATGGCGAGGCGAAGCGGGTGCTCGAAGTGTAGTAACGAGTCCGGGGAAAAGCTCGAGCGTCGCGCCTTGATGGTGGTAGTCCTGCATGTCTGTCGACCTCCTAGCCCGGCCCTGCCCGTAGACTGACCGCGATCCTGCGCGATGCATGGATTCCCAGTCTTTAGTGTGGAGTGAGCCGGGCGGCACCTTCCTCCCCGCTCGCTCGCTTTCTTTGGCTCGTGCTGCGCCGGGGACCAGTCAGGTCCGTGCAAGGTCGAGTGGATTCGAGGCGATACCGCGCCGCGCCGCGCTCGGGGTAACGATCAGCAGCGACGACGACGACGACGACGGTCGAGGCCTTGAAGCCGGAGCGACATCCAAGGACATGGTCCACCATCGCAAGGTCGAGTCTCGATCCTTGGGCTCCCAAAAAAGCAAAAGAGAAGGATGGAGACTGCATGAGTCGAACACGCGACCTTTCGCAGATCACTTGTACAGCTCGAGATGCTGTGCCGTGCTAAGCGAACGCTCTGCCAACTGAGCTAAACCCCCGGACCATGTCGGAGTGCCAAAATGTTGCATACATAAATGGTACATTCCCATATGGAGATGCCGATGCGCGTCCGCCTTCCGGAGTCTTGGGGGCATGGGGTGGCCCGTTCAGAGGCTGCCTCTGATGGTCCGGCCGCCGTGATCTGTGCGATGATACGGTGCGTCCCCTTGTCGATCCATGGTCGACTGGTAGACGTTCAGACGCGGGAGCACTTGGCAAGAAGCCACGGCACGGCAAGGCACGGCACGGCACGGCGAGGCGAGGCGAGGCGAGGCAGGGTGGGGCGAGGCAGGGTGGGGCATGGCGTGGCTTGGCGTGGCAGAGAGTCCGTGGTTCTAGAGTACAGCGCAGATCGTAGAGGAGAGGAGTTCACAGGTAGAGAAGGGCCCGATGAGAGATGAAGCGGAAAGGAAGTGGGAATGAGGGAACGAGCCCAAGGAGCGGGGGTATTGCGCGGCGGCGGGAGGACGCGCGCACCTGCGTCTAGGCCTTTTCGCTACCAGGCGTCGAGACGTCTTCCTCCTTTGTCGCGACGACGACGCCGCCGCCGCCCGTGGATGCGCGTGCCGATTCGACGTCGCTCTCGCTGTTGCGCGCGCCCTCGACGCCGCCGACGGGCGACGCCTCGACCGTGGTGTTGGTGACGCGGAGCGCAATGACGGGCAGGGCGCAGACCATGCCGGCGGCGCAGAGGGCCCAGCCGGTGGCGAGGTTGGTCATGAAGGGCTCGTACTTGGAGTCCATGGCGAAGGCGACGGCGGCGCCGGCCGACTGGAAGCTCTTGTAGAAGCCGGCGAGGAAGCCGAGCTTGGCCGGGTCGTTGGAGACGGTGCCGATGACGTAGTAGGCGTAGGTCTGGAAGCAGGCGTCGAGGACGCCCATGAGGATGTAGAGGATGCACAGGCCGGCGTAGCTGCGCGACTGGGTAAAGTCGATGCGCCGCGCGTCCCACCAGGGCTGCTGGGTGTCGGCGCGCGTGTACTGGAGCTGCTTGGCGTACGAGCCGCCCCATACGGTCCACACCAGCACAAAGACGACCGACCAGCCGACCCAGGCGCGCGAGCGGCGGCACATGCGGCGGCTGTCGAGGAGGCGGCCCATGGCCACGCTCGAGCCCATCTGCGACGCCCAGTAGAGGAAGCTGTTGAGGGCGCGGGTGCGCAGCGTAAAGAGGGGCGAGTTGAAGTCGTTGAACTGGTAGCAGTAGAAAAAGTTGGAGGCGGCAAAGAGGGGAAACAGGCACACGATCCACCTGTCCGAGACGAGGAGCTGGAAGAGGCCGCGGAACTCGGTGCGCCAGCTCGTCTGGCGGGGAACCGTGACGCGGGTGCCGTCGTCGCGGATCATCTTGGCCGGGTCGCGCAGCAGCATGGCGCAGCAGGCGCCGAGGCCCGTGAGGACGACGAAGCTGGCGTAGACGCCGTTGCTGACCGTGTTCTGGGTCGAGTGGTAGGTGAGGCCGAGCTCGATGGCGCTGCCGAGGCACGCTCCGAGGTTGAAGATGCACCAGAAGACGGCGATGAACTGGCCCTTTTGCGACTCGGTGGGGATCGAGAGCATGAGGGAGCCCTGGGCGACCCAGAGGAGGGATGCGCACACGCCGAGGATGGCGCCGGCGGCGATGACGAAGCCCTTGTTGGCGTAGATGTTGTAGACGAGGAACGAGATGATGTAGAGGCAGTATCCGAGAGCGCCGAGGAAGAGGGTGAGGCGGCTGCCGAGGCGGTTGAGGATGGATCCGCTGAAGAAGGAGACGACGGCAAAGACCGAGTAGAGGGCGAGGTTGGCGGTGTTGGCGGCGTCGGCCGAGACCTGTCCGCCTCCGCCGATGCCGCTGAGGGCGTTGAAGAAGCCGGCGGTGAGGAAGCAGACGAGGCCGAGCAGGACAATCTGGGTGATGGGCTTGGAGTAGATGCGCATCAGGGTGCCGGTGGGTCGTTGGACGGGGGCAGGGGCATCAAGAGGGGAGGATGCAGCGAGTGCGGGGAGCGTGTCGGTGGCGGCGGCGATGTCGCTGGAGCTGTGCTGCTGCTTTTCAGAGGGGGCAGCGACGTCGCCCGCGCCCGACGCCGAGGGCGACGTTGAAGGCAAGGCAGACATGGCGGTTGGGGAGGTCGTAGCGGGGCGTGAAGGTGGACGAGGTTGGGGTTCGAGGCAGGGGTGAAGGGTCAAGGATTGACTGTTGGTGGGCAAGACGATCGAGGGGCCATGACCAACGGGTCGATGGGCCAGGAGAGGGGGTGATTGGTGGGCAGAAGGGTCGAAGGGGAGGAGGGTCAAGAGGGAGGGAGAGATAAGGGTGGCGGGGCGGCCAGAAGAGGCAGACGGTGGTGAGGGTTGAGTAGGTTTGGGAAGCGGACGAGCGGCGTCTTGCTTTGGCTCGGGCGCAGGCAGGCAGGCAGGCGGGGCGTCGATCCTAGCCTGTCTGTCGATCTGCCTCTGCTCTCGTCTCTTGCTTCTCCTCTTCCGTCTCGCGTGGGTGGGCCCTGCCTGGCTTCCCTTTGTCGTTCGCCTCGCTCCGAGTTGGCCCATGCTGCCTTCTTGCCTACTTCTGTAGCTCGAGCTAGACTGGGTGGCCTGCTCCCCGCTCGCTGCAGCAGTACCCCCTGCGCTGCGCTGCGCTCGCTCGGTGACAGGCGGCAGAGCAGCCCTCCCACCCAGAGAGAGATAGAGAGACCAGCAGACCCTGCCTTGCCGAAATCAACCCAAAGCAACGCAGGCAGACAGATCTGCCTGCCCACAGGCCAGCAGCCAAAAGAGAGGCCGGCTAAGCGCAGAGTCAGTCACACGAGCCCGCGCCAGCTCGTTGTGCCGTAGCGCTGTGTGCTGTAGACCCACCCCGTCCGCCTTGCACCACCGACCCGCCATCGAGCCAGCCCCTTCATGCTGGCAGCCTTAACTTCTTGCCCGACCTTGAGCTGGGGTTGGTGCCACGGCAAACGGCGGGCAGCGACAGGCCCCACTTGCGCAGAAAAGGGAAAAGCGGAAGCAAGCGGAGCAAAGGAGAAAAAAAACCAGCACCGCTACGCTGTCCCCGGCCTGCTGGCCGCCCCCCTGCAGACAGACCGCGGCGCTGCTTGCCCTTTTCCCCGCGGCGGTTTGGCCGGCAAGGGCCAGGCTGGGCTGGGCAGGGGCCGAGCAGGGGCTGGCCAGACCCCCCCGCGCCTCGCTGCAGGTTGGCTGGGGCGACGGTCGGCTGGCCTGCGCGCTCGTTGCCCCGCACCTGGTCCTCGCGTGGCCCGCCTCAGTCGTCGTCCTGCCAGGACCAGACTCCCATCACCAGCGCAGCGCGGCCCTGGCCGTCCCAGCTCGCCTGACAGCCTCGCCGGCAGACTCCCTCTCACGCCACACGTCCCCCACTACAGTACTGGCTCACAGCTACCTCGCTCGCACAGCATCGCACGTCGAGCAACGCAGGTGCACGCACTTGGATTCGCGCTCGGATCGTGTCGCGCCGTTGTGCTTCGTCGCCCTGCGACTGGCCAGTCGCCGTCAAGCCTTGGTCGTGGATCAGGAATGGCGGGCCGCAGCGCAGGACCTCGCAGGCCAGCGCTCCCGTCCTCGATCAGTCAATCGGTCGGGGTGCTGCTCATCGGGCAGCGGGTGTCGGCAGGCACATCGTCGAGCGTCCCTAGCTGGCCTCGGTGGCCGTGACGCTGCTCGCATCGTCGTCCTTGCTGGCTGCCAGGACCTCGGGCTCGACATCGTCCGATGAGCGAGCCTTCTTGCTTCGGCCGCCGTTCTTGCTGTCGCCGCCCGTGTCGGCGGCTGTCTCTCCGCTCAGCTCGCTGCCAACATCGTCCGCACTCCTCTTCTCCGGCACCAGGTGCGGCACCTCGATGGCCTCTTTGCCTTCGCCCGGAGCCTCTCCCGCTGCCTCGTCCGAGCCAAGGGCCAGCTGCTCGGCGTGCTCGGCCGCCAGTACCCGGATGTCCTGGCTCTCGTCCAGGCGCGGCGGCTCGACTTCCTCGACGATGCCGAGCGGCAGCGGGACAAAAGGTCCGCCCTTTTCGATGGCCTCGTCCGTCACCTCGCCATCGCCGCTCGGCCGCTCTTCTGCCACCTCCTCGACCGTCGGGCCGTCGCTCTTGCCCTCGACCGTCGGGCCGCCGCTCTTGCCCTGGACCGTCGTCGTCGTCGCTTCCGGCTCCTTGCTCTCTCCCTCGGCCGTCTTGTTCTGTGCGGGCTCAGGCTCGGCAGCAAGGCCCTGCGCAGTCTCTTGGCCGGCCTTGGCTTCGACGCCCTCGCGCTCCGGTGCAGCTTCTTCTGCGCGGGCCTCGGCCGGCTCCTTGCTGGTGGTTGGCTCGGCTCGCACCTCGCCCGGAGCCTGCTCCCTGACCTGCTCCCCGGCCTGCTCCCTTGCCTGCTCCCCGGCCTGCTCCCTTGCCTGCTCCTCGGCTTGCTCGTGGGCCTGCTTCTCGACCTGGTCCTCGGCCTGCTCCTTGACGACGACCGGTGCTTCCTCGTGGACCGGCTCAGCCGCCACCGCCTCGGCCTCGATCACGGGCGCCGGCTTCTGTTCCAGTCCAGGACCGGCTTCAACTTGGCCGGCAGGCGTCTCGCTTTGGCGCTCGCCGTCCTTGGGAATGGAAGCCTCGGCCGCGGCGCGAGCCGAGGGCGGCCTCAGGTCGAGCACCATCTCTTCCTCGCTGCTCTGCGTCTCGAGCTGCGACGCTTGCATGCCGGGCGCCGAGATTTGAGGCTGGAGCGACGTCTTGGCTCCCTCTTCTCCGCCCATGACCACCGACGCCTCGCGGCTCGCTGCAGAAGAAGCTTCATCTTCTTCGCCCTCGTCTGGCCTCATGGTCTCTGGCGACGGGCTTGCCGAGCGCGGCCTGTCACGCGTCTCGATGGAGCTTGCTTCGCCAAGCGCGGTGTCGTCCTTGCCCTCGGTCGGGGGAAGCGCGGCAGGCGCCTCCTCGACCAAGCCGGGGCCGGGGCCGCCGATCGGCTGCTCCTGCGACACGTCCTCGACGCGCGGTAGCTCATCTGCCGGGCGCTCGACAATCTCGGGCTCCTTGACGACCTCGGGCTCCTCGACGAGGGCAACGGAAGGCTCGCTGGCCTCGACAGGCTGAGCGGGCTGCACTTCGCGCGCGACCGGCGGGGCGCCGACCTCGACAAAGCCCTCCTCGCCGCTGTCGTCGCCATGGGCGACGCTCTGGATGATGTGCTCCTCGGGCTCTTCTCCGCGCGAGCGAGTGTGGTACTCCTTCCTCATGGCGTACTGCTCGGCCTTAGAGTAGAAGTCGTTGCTGGAGAAGACCGTGGAGCGGATGCCGCAGGGGTGCTTGGACGAGATGCCGACCTCGGTATAGAGGTCGGCCTTGCAGCTCGTGGGGAGGACGCCGTGCTCGCGGGCGAGGGCCTCGAACACCGCCTTTGCGTGGCTGCTGTTCCAGGTGCTCTCAAAGTGGATGCACAGGAGAAACTCGCGGTTGTCGTCGTCATCGTCGTGGTGATAGTGCTGGCCCTTCTTGGACGTGCTGCCGGACCTGGGTCGCGTGGTCTCGAGGTGGCGCACGTGCTCGGCGGTGACCTTGGTGACGATGGGGCCGCCCTTGAGCTGCGATAGCGGGCCCGAGACGACGCTCCTGGCCAGCTTGGCAAACATGCTGTCGACGAAGCGCTCCCTGTCGTGGCTCATCCACTTGCCGCCGAGCCATTGGGGCGACGAGGTGCCAAACTCGATGAGGGCGTTGCTCAGCTCGCGCTCGACCTGTTCGCGGTGGACCTTTTTCGACTGGCCCTTGGCCTTTGAGGTGCGGACGGGGATGCTGTCGTCGGTCTTGATGCGCTCGTGCTCCTTGACAGCCTTGTCGACGGCCGCGCAGGCCTGCTCGAGGACGCGCTGTCGTGCCGCGGGGTCGTTGTGCTTGACCAAAGAGCTGCGCCCGAGGTTGGGCGACTCGACCGTGACCCTGCCGCCGTCGTCGTCGTTCGCCGTCCTTGTGGGCTTGTGCTTCTTGAGCCACTTTTCGAGGTCTTCTCCGCTGGCGGGAGTCCAGGTGTGGCGCGAGGGTGCAGCTGCCTCGGCGGCCGAGGCCTGGCCGACGTTGCTCGTCATTGCAGGTGAGAGGGTGTCGTTCGAGGAGGTGATGGTGGCCCGTTGACGGGCTGCGGACGCGTGAATCTGTCGTGCGCCAGCCGGTGCGGCTGCGACGATACGGGCAAGAGAGGGGTGGACGGCGTGCGGAACCGCCGTCGCAGGTGTGGACCTAAGCGCGAGTAGTAGTAGCAGTGCTTTTGATCGGGTCAAGGACGTGCCGCGAACGAAGCGCGGGAAGGACAGATGAGACGACGTTGCGATGGCGATGGCGAAAGGTGGGCTGTGCGGAGCTGCCAAATTTGCTGGCAGCGATGGCGAGGTTCAGGGGTCGTTGGCGGCTACTGCGGCTGCGGTGGTGGTGGTGGTGGTGGGAGAAGAAGAATGGGGCAGTAGCCAACTGGGCGGACGCCATTGGGCGT